TTGATTGAGATTTGACCCTTTGTGGGGGAGGAAGTCCGTTCGCGTCATATACTATTAATTTTCAGCCAAATTTTAATCATTTTTTTGGGAGGTAGAAGAAGGAACGGATCGATAAGTCTGATTTCATTTTGTGACCTCTTATATTATAAATTATGATTATTGCGGTGACCTTAATTTTTAGCTTGAGGGAGACAATTAGTTTCTAAAAACCTAGAAGCAATCAGTTCCTCAGTCGTAACTAATGACACTGAATTTTTTGACAAAGATCAGAAGATAATGTGTAGGAATCGAAGGAGATCAGAAAAAACTTGTCCATATTCTAAACTGCTGTTAGTTATAGAGAAAAACATTTGCAAATTCATTACTTTCTGGACGTATATAACGTTTGATGGACACTTTATTACTTTCCGGAACCTGGTTTGGAGGTCTGAATAACAATAATGGAGGCCAGGATAATTTGTAAACTTCATATGAAGCGAATGGAGTTTCCCATTTGGTAAAATCATATTATAAACCGGATTGAGAATCCTGGGGATCTAATCCTAGCAGACCTTAATATTAAGACTAACAGATTTATACAAGTTTCGGATATATAGGTCCATCATCTCTGGTACCTCCACCATAAAATTCAGTTTACTGTATACTACATTCGATATGTCATAGGCTGAAGGCGACAATACCTACTGAGAATTTTTATTTGTTTATTACATACCTCGGCTCTATTTCTCAATAAAATGTGTGGGTCATAATGTGACCCTATCATAATATATGTGATTTTTATACCCTACACAACTATGTTGTCAGAGTATTATAGCTTTGTGCAGCCCCAAAAGTTTGTAACGCCGCGAAATATTGGTCCTAGACCCACCTTTAAGTATACTGATCGTCATATCTCGACTAGCTGAGTCGATCTAGACATGTGTGTCCGTCCGTCCGTTTGTCCATTATAATTTGTAAACACGATACAGGCCACAGTTGTGGAGCAATCTTCACGAAATTTTGCATGTAGGATGGGTTCTGGCCAATGAAGACCCCTATTTTTTGGTAAAGATCGGTTAATATTTAGGGGATGAAATAGACCAAAAACTTTATTTTTGTCTGATTTTCTGGTAGCTCCAGAGGCCCCAATTATGGCCAAACATCTTGAATTTTTACAAGGAGAAGGGGATCGGGCCAAAGAAGAAGCATGCCTGTATTGATAAACATCGGTCAATATTTAGCGGGTCAAATGGACCCTGACTTTTGTGTGAAAATGACAAAATTTGTATTCTATGGGATATATATTTAGCCCTGAAGGACATATACCCGAAAAGTTGATAGTATATCCAAGAGGAGTGGTTGACCTTTAAATTGATACCAATTATATTGTCGTATGTACTCGGATGTGGAAGTTACACTTAAATATTGACAGGTGCTTGCGTATTCATATATTAATTAGTAACGCATTACTACACTATAGGGCGGAAATATAGCGCTGATCGCGTTGAAATTTTCCATGAGCATCCATGTATGGTCAAGGACAACGCATATAATTTTCGGTGACCGATAACTTATAACTTATTTTTTTGTATTTTTTTTCCAGTCGATCTATAGGCCACAATTGAAAGTCGAACATCGCAACACAACTCACGATGAAGGGAATATGGCGAAGAAATTAGAACGGCTGTACTGAATATTAGTAATATTGGTTGACCTCTAATCGGTCAAGAGTGTGCAAATATCGCGAAATATTGCACAATCTCAGAATATAGAACCACAGAAAGTAAGAGTTTCGTGGAAGTTGTGTAGGGTATCATATGGTCGGCCCAGTCCGACTATACTGCTCCGCTCACTGGTTTTTCCTAACATAGTAGCAGGGATAATAGGATAATATTTTTTCTTTTCTTTAACAGTAAACCAAATACCACAAGACGTGATGTTTTGGCCGCCAAATATTATATAAAAAATGTTGCTTGTTTTCATCGTTCTTTTCACCTTTATCTGATTATAGCTTAGAACCCTTACATCTACGAACACTGATAAATTCGTCTGAACGATTCGGTAGCATAACTGTGTTGCAATACACTAAAAATATATATTTAAAATATCGACGTTTATTGTTCTAATAGTCCTCAAAAATATTCATAAAAAAATCACGCTTAATGCTCTTCAAAAAATCGCCCTTTAATTGATTGGGATTTCCTCCCAATTTCTATAAATGTTCTGAAAAAAATCCACTCTTATTGCTCTGGTAGTCCTATAAAAAATCCAAAAAAAAAAATATTTTTAAAAATCCACGCTTATTGAGCCGTAAGTCCACCAAAATATATTCTTTAAAAATCCACACTCAATGGTCGGATTGTCCTTCAAAAAATATTCTTTAAAAATCCACTCTAACTTTATTATTATAATCAAATATTTAACAAAATAACAATGGGTAAAACATTAAATTATTTTCCTTTAGCAGTTGCCACTACATTGGCCGCTTGCTGGGCTACACCAAGGCCTTGAATTGTGGCATCACGGGTATGTTGGCCAATACGTTCCTGTAAATTAAAAAAAAAAAAATAACACCAACAATAACAAACCCCAAAAATATTTCATAAAATTCAGATATTTCATAAAATTCAGAACCTACAATTTTCTTGCCAATTTTCTTTAACCATCCAGCTTCACCTTGACCCACAAAATCAGCCAATATCAAGGCAACAAAAATAGGGACTGCATTAAATTTCATAGCTTCGTTGTTGTTGCTGTTTTTCAGTTTTATAATAATATAATTTTTTCTATTTGCAATAGAAAGCTAATGACGGAAGTACAATCGAACGTAGCTGCTGACTTAAATGTATGTTTGTGATTCATAACAATGTCTTGTCGTTTAAAAATAAAAGCGAAAAGAACAAAAAACAAAACGGGGAATATAATTAGGTATGGTCATGTACGTTTGTTTTTTTGCAAAGTATGTGCTTTTTCGAATTGCGGGGGAATTTATTTTGTTTTGTTCTTACTCATTTGCTTAGCGTGTAATCGATTATTGCCATAGATTTATTCGTATAATATGGGAAGTATATTTTCAATTGGCGTTATCAGTTGCATTTGACATTTTATATGAACCCAAAAATAGAATTTGATTTTTTTTTTGCTCAACTATGTGGTGAAGGTATAATCAATATGTAGAAAACGTCCTGGTAGTTCCCACACAAATATTCTTTAAATATATATATATATTCTTTATAAAGCCACGTATATTGCTCTGATGATCCTCCCAAAAATATTCTTTATAAAGCCACGTATATTGCTCTGATGATCCTTCTAAAAATATTCTTTATAAATCCACGTATATTGCTCTGATGATCCTTCTAAAAATATTCTTTATAAATCCACGCCTATTGCTCTGATGATCCTTCCAAAAATATTCTTTATAAATCCACGTATATTGCTCTGATGATCCTTCTAAAAATATTCTTTATAAATCCACGCCTATTGCTCTGATGATCCTTCCAAAAATATTCTTTATAAATCCACGCCTATTGCTCTGATGATCCTCTCAAAAATATTCTTTATAAATCCACGCCTATTGCTCTGATGATCCTTCCAAAAATATTCTTTATAAATCCACGCCTATTGCTCTGATGATCCTTCCAAAAATATTCTTTATAAATCCACGCCTATTGCTCTGATGATCCTCTCAAAAATATTCTTTATAAATCCACGCCTATTGCTCTGATGATCCTTCCAAAAATATTCTTTATAAATCCACGCCTATTGCTCTGATGATCCTCTCAAAAATATTCTTTATAAATCCACGCCTATTGCTCTGATGATCCTTCCAAAAATATTCTTTATAAATCCACGCCTATTGCTCTGATGATCCTTCCAAAAATATTCTTTATAAAGCCACGTATATTGCTCTGATGATCCTTCTAAAAATATTCTTTATAAATCCACGCCTATTGCTCTGATGATCCTTCCAAAAATATTCTTTATAAATCCACGCCTATTGATCTGATGATCCTTCCAAAAATATTCTTTATAAATCCACGCCTATTGATCTGATGATCCTCCCAAAAATATTCTTTATAAATCCACGCCTATTGCTCTGATGATCCCCCTAAAAATATTCGTTATAAATCCACGCCTATTGGTCTGATGATCCTCCCAAAAATATTCTTTATAAATCCACGCCTATTGCTCTGATGATCCTTCCAAAAATATTCTTTATAAATCCACGCCTATTGCTCTGATGATCCTTCCAAAAATATTCTTTATAAATCCACGCCTATTGCTCTGATGATCCTTCCAAAAATATTCTTTATAAAGCCACGTATATTGCTCTGATGATCCTTCTAAAAATATTCTTTATAAATCCACGCCTATTGCTCTAATGATCCTTCCAAAAATATTCTTTATAAATCTACGCCTATTGCTCCGATGATCCTTCCAAAAATATTCTTTATAAATCCACGCCTATTGATCTGATGATCCTCCCAAAAATATTCTTTATAAATCCACGCCTATTGCTCTGATGATCCTCCTAAAAATATTCGTTATAAATCCACGCCTATTGCTCCTTCAATAAATATTCTTAAGAAATCTAAGCCTATGGATCTGATATTCCATATTGCAATAATAACAACTAAGTCATTGGGTTTTCAGATGTTTCGGAATACAAAAATCACCATAGGGCAAATAAAACCCACATAAGTATTTTTTCTATTGTAATATTTTTCTTTGAAAATAAAATTTACATTTCCCATAGTAATTTCCCCCATTTTAAAAAAAATACCCTCGCACACAACATGCATATCAATTGATTTTTTAATTCTAAACCAATCAGGGCGACCACCTAACCTCAACACCAATTAAAGCTAGTGTCTTATATGATTCACACAAAATCTTTGTACAAAAATATATAAACCAAAGGTTTTACTACACTCGGCATCAGTTTGCATTTCCCACCAAAACTAAAGAGTTCAACTTTTCCATCCTATTCGTTGCGGATTTTATACACAAATTTCAAAATGCAATTTCATAAAATATTCCTATTCTGTGCCTTGATGTTGGCCGTATTTGTGGGTCAAGGTGAAGCCGGTTGGTTGAAGAAAGTTGGCAAGAAAATTGTAAGTAGTCGTCCTTTTTAAAATTTTCTTTAAAGTATAGAAATTTTGAAATCATTTTTTCTCATTTTGGAAAAGGAACGAGTCGGTCAACACACCCGTGATGCCACAATTCAGGCTATTGGTGTGGCTCAACAGGCTGCAAATGTTGCTGCTACTGTACAAGGAAGATAATTGAAGTATCTACCAAAATAATTTATACTTTTCAATACTCATTTTGTAATTTGAAATAAAATTATTCTAAAAAAATGCGCTACTTTTGTAATAGTACTTCATTAAACATCAACGCTTATTGGTCTGATAGTCCTCCAAATATTGGTCTATAGACCTGATAGTCCTCCAAATATTGGTCTATAGACCTGATAGTCCATGAAAAAATATTCTTTAAAAATTCACGCCTATAGACCTGATGGTCCTTGAAATAATATTCTTTAAAAATCCACTCCTATAGACCTGATAGTCCGTGAAAAATATTCTTTAAAAATACACGCCTATAGACCTGATAGTCCTTGAAAAAATACTCTTTAAAAATCCACGCCTATATACCTGATAGTCCTTGAAAAAATATTCTTTAAAAATGCACGCCTATAGTCCTGATAGTCCTTGAAAAAATATTCTTTAAAAATGCCTATAGACCTGATAGTCCTTCAAAAATATTCTTTAAAAATCCACGCCTATATACCTGATAGTCCTTCAAAAATATTCTTTAAAAATCCACGCCTATAGACCTGATAGTCCTTGAAAAAATACTCTTTAAAAATCCACGCCTATATACCTGATAGTCCTTGAAAAAATATTCTTTAAAAATCCACGCTTATTGGCCTGATAGTCCTTGAAAAAGTTTTCTTTAAAAGTCCACGCCTATAGACCTGATAGTCCTTAAAAAAATATTCTTTAAAAATCCACGCCTATAGACCTGGTAGTCCTTGAAACAATTTTCTTTAAAAATCCTCGCTTATTGGTCTATTCATGTTGTCCTCCTGATAGTCCCTCTGTTCTGTAAATTCTCTCTCAGCACAATTTTTTTTATAAACAGCAAAATCAAATAAATTGTTGCCAACTGTAGTGAAAAAATCAAGTGTCTATCAATTGCTAAGTATATAAACTAAAAGCATGACTATACATGGCATCAGTTCTAAAATCTTAACATTTGAAACCTTTTTTTTGTGAATTGGAATGTTATTTAATAAATTTTTAATTTACATTGCCTTTGTGTTGTCCGTATTTGTTACGAACGGGAAAACTACTTGGGTATTGAAAGTTGAAAAGAAAATTGTAAGTGTTGGCATCTTGTGATATTTGATGATAATTAAATTTTCTAATTATTTTCTATAGGAGCGGATTGGTTGAAATGTCACAATTTAGATGTAACTGAAGAGCCTGGCAATGTTGCCGACACGATATATAGAAGACAATTGTAATTGGATTCAAATAAAAATAGCCTAAAATTAATTCTTAAAAAAACGCTTGCTTATTGCCGTGGTAGGGCTTCAAACACACTTTTTTAAAAAATCTACTCTGAAAGGTCTGACATAAGATATATAGTCTATCAAATATAGACAAAAGAAATCTGAGCCTTAGGATTCGAAAGTCCCCCAAATTTTGGTAGTACATCACCTGTGACATCCAAAAATATGTGCAAAATCTCCACACGTTCGGTAGATCCTTAAAAATCCATACTTAGCATCGTTGAAAAAGTTTTCTCTCATAGTCTTGTGTAAGTCTTTCCAACATCTACGCTTATTGATCGGTAGATCCTTCATAAAATATACTTAACCACACCAGGCTTATTGATCGGCGAGTCCTTCAAAAATAATCTTAAAAACATGGTAATGCTTCAGGAAATGTCATTAAAAAATATACGCTTATCGCAATTTTTTAAAAATTGCCGCAAAATGGTCTTGTAGTCCATGAAAAATACCACAAGAAATTGGTCTGGCAGCCCTGCTTAAAATAGTCTTAAATTTTTTAATTTATAGCCTTGTTAATCCTTTATAACATATTTATTGCTTGGATAGATTTTGGAAAAAAAAACTCAAAAATCCACATATCAGCAGCTGAGAAATATTAGAGGCCCTGTGAGAAAAGAAATTCGAATTATTTCAAATATAGAATTATTTTGTACACTTTTAATATTTTACTTACTAGGCCACCAATTACACCTTCTACACCATTTAAAAGGCCGCTTACAAGTGGTTGGGGCTTAGCTGTTGTGGTCGACGACACTGTATCCGAGTCACAGTAAACGGTGTTTGTAAGGAAAATTAAGGATAGCACAATGAAAAATATATTGACGATGTACATTTTGTGTGTGGTAATCTGAATTGTTTTGAAAATATTTTGAACTGAATATATTTGCTTGCGAACTTATTTATAGAAATTGTTTTTAAAATATTATTTATTCAAATTAGACTTTTTTATAGACTTTTTTATGTGTTAATTATGAATGCATAAGCAATTGTAAATAATTGGTAATCGTCGGAACGTAAACAAGTGAATTGAGTTATTAGGAGTAGACGACATTAAGTGTAAAAAAAAAAACAATTTCAGTGTTCAAATCCATAGCACTATGGCACAGTTTTCAACTTGAAAATATTAAACCAATCAGGAGCGCCAAAATCTGAAAGCTTATGATGGTAGAAGAAAAATCCTAGTTGCGTTTTGATTAATTAGCTAAGGTTTTTATTTTAACCTGGTTTTAAGATTTGGACTTTGGATGAATTTTTGAATAATGTGTACTGCTTATCACGTGATCTACTCCAAAAATAGTTTTTAAAAAATCCTGAAAAACAACCCTTATATCTTTTGTACTCATCTCTAAAATAGTCTTATAAAATCATCCTTATTAATAATAACTTTCTTATAGTTTTGGCGATTATTGAGAACAATATTAATTGCTTAAAGATGTTGTATTACGGGTATATATTTACTATATTGAATCGCCAATACAACATCTTTCATCCTATTTTCGGGTTTCTGTTATAAAAAAATTGTCCACATAGGTCTACGTTTTCTGGTGGCCCCCATATAAAGGTATCCCTATTTTGCCATTTGTCATTAATTAAATAAAATGCATTGTGTGTGATTTTAAAATTTATTTGTGCAATTTTTCCATTTCGTCTACATTTGTTTCACATTTAAGGAGTTGGTCGGGGTATCTTTACTTGCCCTAAAAAATAAAAAAAATGGAATATACATGCTTAGTTTTAATAAAAATGACGTATGATAATTATTCAAATACTCACCATGAACATAGGGAACATAGGTTCGGGTTCAGGTTTTGGTTCGGGATCGGCTTTAGCTGAGCCAATGGCCAAGAGCAAAGTAGCGGCGATAATTGCAATATTGTAGAATTTCATTGTTGAAAGTGTTTGTGATATTCAGAAACTGACGATTTTGTGCAGTGTTTCAAATCATTTTATACAAAATTTAATAGGCTGGCGAATTTTCCACAAATTTTCAACATTTGTTTTCAATATACAAAAACAATAAAGCATTTGTACGTTGTTATTGTTTTTATTGCATTTGCATGCAGTATGTTTATTTATTTTATATAATTAATGACTGGAATTTTTGGAAATCCCACATACTGAAAATATTGACAAAAATATCTATATTAAAAATATATTCCTAGAAATTTTGTATTGCCTTTGTTCAGCAAATCGAAAGTTCTGGGCAAATAAATGACAAATCTAACGTAATGCACGTGTCGATTTTATGGATACTTTAGGCAACGACTTGAAAGACTTTAGACTCTTAGTTTTTTATTGGTATTTCTCCCAGGGAGTCATCACCCCACGAAACAAATTGATTGTAAGGGAATGTGGTATTCCGGTTTCCTTCTCCTGCGTTGCATATTTTGACAATTTTTCTTCTTGTTTTTGCAAAATAGTCAGGCTGACTATAAAAGCTATTATGGCATTGTCCGCCGAGGGTAAAGCAGGGAATACTATATTTTCGGATCTCGCTACTCTTCCCTTAGTTCCCTTAGTTCTTTGTTGAGATATTCTCCCCAGAAGCTATTTATTGCTTCTTTACAAAAAAAAACCTTTCGTACCCAAATGTCTCTTGTGACAAATCGAAGTACTTACGTTACCAGCGATACGACCTGAATGAGAAGTTCGTTGGTGCCTGCAAGGCATTTTTCGTGGTCAGCAAGGCATTTGCACACAACTACAATACATTTCCCACTGCTATGTGTAGTTATTTTGTAACGGATGCACATATTTCTTCTTCTGTTACTTCTCTTGGTACTATAGGGCTTCCCCAAAGCATTACTTACCATCATAGTCGAGTAGTCTTTTATGCCGAAGTTGGTATTATAAAATTTCATATGTCTTTGGAAGCCCCTGATAGGTCCCAGGAATGTAAAACTGTTTGTAGTTTATCCACTGCACTACACCACCCTCTCAAGGTACCGCGTCATCTTCGGTATTTAAAACCATAGTGGCAAGGATAAAATATATGTTTACATAAAATTGCCTATATAGGGACTTATATTAAGGTTCCGACCCGTTTCCGTAGTTTTTGGGTTTGAGCCGTATTTTTCCACTAAAGAGACTTAAATATAGCGTTCCGTTGAAAAACATTTTATGTTTTGAAAAAATCAGCCGATTTTTCCCGATGAAGTGGCTGTAATTTGGCATTCCATGTTCTAGTCTTTTCCCGACGAAGTGGCTCTTATTTGCCGTTCCGTATTTTCGTATTCGTAGAAAATCGATGTAGGTCCATGATTTGACATACTTCCGTAATGATAATAACGCGCATGATTTTCGGTATTTTGAAGGTTTTAGACGCATTTACGCACCCAACTGCCTGTGATTTGGGATCACAAAATTTCTTGAAAATAAAATATATTTTTTTCTAAAAACTGTTCCTTATAGGAAACCCATGCAGTGGTAACGCTTAGTTTTCGGTTCGTTGAAAGGTGGGAGCCAATTCATATAAGAAAATACACAATAGAAACCATATTGTTCTTGGACCCAATACCCTCTCTATATAATGTCAAATTCAGCCATGTTCGCATTTTTAATTGATCTAAAAACTAACAGATTCAAAAGGTATTGTCCTTGCTTCGATGGATCATTACAAGAGGAACTCGACTTTAAATGTGATTTTGTCATTTATTTGCCAAAGGCCTTTCGATTTTCTGAAGAAATGTTACTCAAAATTTC